ATAACACCTGCAATCGTAACTTCTCGGCAAAGCAACGTGATTTCCGAGCTCGTCGGATCTTCGCACGTGTGTAGACCTAGGCTATTTGGTCTTGCAAGCACAGGTGTGTGCACAGCACCGTTCCCTAGTGACGCTTAGATCATGTAGACTGGGTATCAGTATTTGCTACGGACATGAAGAAGTTTAGAACTATACACCAGTTTCATAACAAGTGCAGGTTTTTAGCTCTACTGGTCAGAGACCAGAATAGCTTATGCGATAGTAATGTGTCCGTCGTCCGTCCGTCCGTCTGTCTGTCTGTCTGTCCGTCTGTAAACAATTTTTCAAAATGCTACTCCTCCTACAGTTTTGGTCTGATTTCAATATAACTTGGCACACAGGTAGACTACACTAAGATACATAATTCTGTGTATCGGTTTTTGATTTCGATGAACGGTGTTGCCATGGTTACTAAAAATAGAAATTTCTGTGAAAAACATTCAAAATGCTACTCCTCCTACAGTTTTGATCTGATTTCAGTATAACTTGGCACACAAGTAGACTATACTAAGATGCATAATTCTGTGTATCGGTTTTTGATTTCGATGAACGGTGTTGCCATGGTTACTAAAAATAGAAATTTCTGTGAAAAAAATTCAAAATGCTACTCCTCCTACAGTTTTGATCTGATTTCAGTATAACTTGGCACACAAGTAGACTATACTAAGATGCATAATTCTGTGTATCGGTTTTTGATTTCAATGAACGGTGTTGCCATGGTTACTAAAAATAGAAATTTCTGTGAAAAACATTCAAAATGCTACTCCTCCTACAGTTTTGATCTGATTTCAATATAACTTGGCACACAAGTAGACTATACAGAGATGCATAATTCTGTATATCGGTTTTTGATTTCGATGAACGGTGTTGCCATGGTTACTAAAAATAGAAATTTCTGTAAAAAACATTCAAAATGCTACTCCTCCTACAGTTTTGATCTGATTTCAATATAACTTGGCACACAAGTAGACTATACTAAGATGCATAATTCTGTGTATCGGTTTTTGATTTCGATGAACGGTGTTGCCATGGTTACTAAAAATAGAAATTTCTGTGAAATACTTTCAAAATGCTACTCCTCCTACAGTTTTGATCTGATATCAATATAACTTGGCACACAAGTAGACTATAATAAGATACATAATTCTGTTTATCGGTTTTTGATTTCAATGAACGATGTTGCCATGGTAACTAAAATAGAAATTTCTGTGAAATACTTTCAAAATGCTACTCCTCTTACAGTTTTGGTCTGATTTCAATATAACTTGGCAAACAAGTAGACTACACTAAGGTACATAATTCTGTGTATCGGTTTTTGATTTCGATGAACATTGTTGCCATGGTTACTAAAAATAGAAATTTCCTTGAAATACCTTCAAAATGCTACCCCTACAGTTTTGGTCTGATTTTAGTATTACTTAGCATACAAGTAAACTACACTAAGATACATAATTCTCTGTACCAGTTTCGGATTTTGATGAATGGTGTTGCCATGGTTACTAAAAATAGAAATTTTCTTGAAATACTTTCAAAACGCTACTCCCCCTACACTTTTTGTCTGATTTCAGAATAATGTGGCATACAAGTAGACTACAGAGATATATAATTGGTGTTATTGTTTTTTGATTTTGTTGAATGATGTTGCCATGGTTACTTAAATCAAAATTTCAGTAAAATTGTTTTAAAAGGCTACTCCTCCTACAGTTTTAGTCTGATATAATAATAAATCTTGCCAAAAAGAGACTAAACCAAGGATCATTATTCTATTTATTGCTGTTGCAAAGTTTCAAGTCCAAGTGCTACTTTTATCTTCCTTTATAAATACAACCAGTAGAGCTACAGTCTCATCAGAGACTTCTGGTTTACTCAAGCCCTAGACTTGGCTAGAGGGGCTGATTTATCAAAAACGATGCTAGGTCATCGATCCACTCAGTTTTAAAAACACGAAAATGTACTATTTTTGAAAAGAAAAACATTTCTCGAAACAAAAATGAAGTTTTCAAAAGGTCTGTATATTCAAAATATATATTAAGTGTTAAATGTCGGATTCAATTCTATGACGAAGGACTATATTCAGTATTGCTCCACAGCCGCAACCGATCTCCCGATTTCCTTTGCGTTTAACAACGGCCGTCAATGCATTTCTGGACGAGTTCATTGATTACTCTAAAAGGTGACAGGTTGACCCATCTTAAACATCTGCCTATACTTTGAGTGATAGTACTTTAATAGCACAAAATTAAACAAGAGGCCCATGGGCCACAACGCTCACCTGAGTAACTTTGGCCTTGCTGTTTTTCACCCGATTTCCCCCTTGTAATACCTATTGTGGCCCCGCCCTACCCCAGGGGTCATGATTTGAACAATTTAGAATCTACACTACCCCAGGATGCTTCCACATAAGTTTCAGCTTTTCTGGCCCAGTGGTTCTTGAGAAGAAGATTTTTAAAGATATTTTCTA